GGAAGAAAATAGTAAAGAATAGTAGAGTTGGAATTTATGGAGATTGAGAAATTAGAGTATGAGATATTAGTGGCATATGGACGTGTGAAAAATCCAAGTGATATATATGATGACTATTAATTGTGATCTTAAGAAATTGATATGATTAAATGTTAGAGGCATATGGGATGGCCATTGTGATGAGATGATGATATAGATTTCAATTGATGATTATATCATGGTTACAAGAATGATTCATTTCTTGATTATTAATATATGATATTATTGTCTCTTTATAGAAAGTAAGAGCACCAAATTGTGCGGGCTTAGAAATGTGAGAAGTTTTGCTATCAGATTACACCCTGAGAGAATATTTAATCTTGTATCTAAAGCTAACGATGGCTTGAATTATGATAATAAATTATTTTAGAATTGAGGTGTTCGAAAGTAAACTGATAAATTATGGATCATATTGTAGTTTATGGAAGATGAAAGATTTAAGCATGATTAGAGTTGGTTATATTGGGGTTGAATTAAGGAATTATGGTGTTAGCACAGTGCGAGAAAGATCGATACTTAGTTATTACCAGAGTTCAAGGTATATTTTTATTCGACATGGTATTTGGATCAACAGATCGGCAAATGTCGCATTATTCATTTTAGATGATATAGTCAGTTTATGAGATAGATTTATAAATCATATTTAGACTAGACTGTCATTTTATATGGTAGGAGGTGATAAAGGATTATGATTGCAAGATTGACTACCATCCGGAGAAAGTTAATGTGGTTGCAGATGCTCTTAGTAGAAAAACTAGTTCTTCCTCTCAATCCAATGCGGTATATGCTTCCTTATTGTGTGAGCTCAGGAAGTTACACTCTCAATTGTCAGCTACTACTTCAGGGGTAGTATTTGCTCATTTTCAAGTAAGGCCTACTTTGATTGATAAGGATATAGAAGCTCAATCTCAAGACTAGACATTAAGAATATTGGAAGCCGAAATGAGTGCTGGGTTAAGAGCAGACCGTGATAAGAGATGATGGTACATTGGCTATAGGTAATAGATTATGTGTTCCGGATATTCCAGAATTGTAGGAGATTTTAGAAGAGGCACATAGTTCTATTTGTGCTATGCTTCCGGGTAGTATTAAATGTATCACACATGGATAGATCACTACTGGTGGCTAGGCATGAAGAGAGAGATAGCCGAGTTTGTATCCAAATGTTTTATCTGTCATTAGGTAAAAATAATATTATGACTTTTACGGCCATTGCCTATTCCAAAATGGTAATGGGAGCACATTTCTATGGACTTTTTATTTGGTCTTCCTCATACTCGGGATGGTCATGATGACATTTGGGTTATTGTAGATCGTTTAAACAAGACTGCCAGGTTCTTACCGATCAAAGCTACTTATTCTTTAAATAAGTTGGTAAAGTTGTACGTGGATGAGATGGAAGCCTGGGTGTACTAAATTACATTTCAGTATAGCTTTTCACCCTCAGACAAATGGCCAGACGGAAAAGACTATACAGACTCTGGAGGATATGTTAAGGGCTTGTGTTTTAGAGTTCAAAGGTAGCTATGATACTCATTTATCTTTGATGGAGTTTGCTTACAATAATAGTTACCACTCCAGTATAGAAATGGCTCCTTTGAAGCTTTATATGTTAGAAAATGCAGAACGTTAGTGCATTGGGATGAAGCTAGTGAAAGGAAGTTAGTAGGCCCTGAATTGGTTCAAATGTCTTCAGAAAATGTGAAATTGATTAGAGAAAATTTGGGGATAGCACATGATAGATAGAAAAGTTATGCAGATAGGTGCATGAAAGATCTCGAATTTGCAGATGGAGATAAAATATTTTTGAAATTGTCACCTTGGAAAGGGGTGTTGAGATTTGCTAGACGAGGAAGGTTGAGTCCATAATATATTGGACCTTATCAGATTTCTGAGCGGATTGGCCCAGTTGCATATCGATTAGATTTACGAGATGAATTATCTAGGATCCATGATGTTTTTCATGTTTCTATGCTTCGCAAATACATCACAGATGCTTCTCATGTGCTAGAGTCTCAGCCAATTCAGTTGAAGGAGAATTTGACCTATATAGAAGAGCCAGTGAGAATTCTTGATAGAAATGTACTTGTCAAGGTACTTTGGAGGAATCAGACGGTAGAAGAGGCTACATAGGAAAATGAGGAACAGATGCATGCACAATATTCTCATCTATTTACTGATTAGCCATATGTCCATCGAATTTCGAGGACAAAATTCTTTTAAGGAGGTGAGATTGTGACAACCCATATTTTATTAGTCAAAAGTCAAGGTCAATTATGGACTTAAATGGGAATAATTGATTTTCTTGGGGCTTATTTTATATTTAAGATAATGGAGGGTTAAGATGTATTAGAATTTAAGTTGGGGACTTACTTATACCTTATTGATAATTGAGGGATTTTTCTTGCAAAACTCCACTATCTAGACAATCTCAACCCATTTTCTCAATTCATTTTACACACACGCACAAAGCATGCAGAGAAGAGAGAAATCGAGGAAAGGAAGAAAGAAAGTGGGAAAGAAAGGGAAAAAGAGAAGGAAAATGAGAAGGAGAAGAAGAAGGAGAGTAAGTGGGTAATTTAAGTTTAATTTTCATTGTTATTCTCGTTATTTTTCTTCAAGAGGCTGAGATATATTATGTTAATTTGTAAGGTTTTAATTTGTGGTTAAAATTTTCAGATTTTTGAGATATGAGAATAAATTGGAGCTCGAGTTTATTGATTCTTTAGTTTCCATTTATACTACGGTAAGAAATGCTATTTTTGGGCAAACCCTAGATTTTTACTTGGATGTTTGAATAAGTATTGTTAGTAGAAATGATAGTGTGGATCAAATACTTACAAGAAAGCACTATTTTATGGAACAATATGTATATTAAACTGGTTGTGGTGTTGGTTGTTAGTTTC